GTGGTGGGAAGGTGGAATGTAGGTCCAGGACCCTGAGGAAAGCTCCCCATGAAATGTTTTATGTCCTCTGACCTGGGATAGAGGATAATATCTCCTGTGGTGATGATCTTTTTGCTGCTTTGACCCTGACTTACACTTGCAACTTAATTAAAGCCGATTTTCCAGAAATCCCTATTCCAATCCTGCTCTGCGTCACTGCAAGAAGTTTGTGTCTGAGTGTTCCTTGTGTTTCAGCTTCCTAACACTTTCTGCCCACTTTCACACTTTCTGGCCAGAATCTCAAAGCTGACATAAAATATGAACAAAATCAGGAAACGCGCAGCTGTGTTTTCAAAACGTCTCTTGATGTTTCTCCTGCGATCATGATGTAGATGTGGAGGTGCCAGTGTTGGACTGGGGTGGACAAAGTCAGAAATCACACGACACCAGGTTATAGTCCAACAGATTTATTTGAAATCACAGGCTTTCGAAGCATAGCCCCTTTATCAGGTGAACAAGGAGCTGACGAAGGAGCAGCGCTCCGAAAGCTTGTGATTTCAAATAAACCTGTTCGACTATAACCTGGTGTCATGTGATTTCTGACTTTGCCCTGGGATCATTGCAGTGGCTGATTCCAAGAGGTGGATTGATAATTCTTGGAGCATCTCTGGGTGTGGAAAGACGTTCTGCAAAGGGAAGAGCAATAATTCTGATTGAAAAGGAAAAATTGTTTGCACAGAATCACAGAATTCTGTTACACTGCAGACAGTTGTCATTCGGCCCATCGTATCTGTACTTGCTCTCAGAGCATTTTTACTTAGTTCCAACCTCCTGCCTTTTCCCTGTAATCCTGCTCAATGTTTCTTTTGAATTCACCATGCACTGCCCCTCTTGATGCTTCAATTGAACTTGCCTCCTCCACACTTCTAGGCATTGAACTCGGGGACATTTATAAGGATGTTGCCAGGGTTGGAGGGTTTGAACTATAGGGAGAGGTTGAATAGGCTGGGACTATTTTCCCTGGAGCGTCGGAGGCTGAGGGGTGACCTTACAGAGGTTTGTAAAATCATGAGGGGCATGGATAGAGTGAATAGACAAGGTCTTTTCCTCCTGGTAGGGAGTCTAAAACTAGAGCGGCATAGGTTTAAGGTGAGAGGGGAAAGATTTAAAAGGGACTTGGGGGCAACATTTTCATGCAGAGGGTGTTGTGTGTATATAACAAGTTGCCAGAGGAAGTGGCAACCGGATGGGTATATGAATAGGAAGGGTTTGGAGCGATATGGGCCAAATGATAGTAAATGGGACTAGATTAATTTAGGATATCTGGTCAGCATGGACAAGTTGGACTGAAGGGTCCATTTCCATGCTGTACAGTTCTATGACTCTATAACTGTATGACTCTGCATCTGATTCTCCAACACTTCTCTCCAGCTTGGAGTTGCAAACTTGACTTCTCTCGGATATTGTTTATTTGTTTTGATAAACCCCACGTCTGTGTCACCCATTGCTAAGCATCTCGTTAGCTCCTCACTGTATCCCGCTGTCAAGCTCCTGTGTCTTCCCTCAAACATCTTGTTCTCACTCAGTTGCTCCTGTTAGTTTCTGCTCTGCCTGAATACATCCCAAAACATCTAATGTGTTAATGAGAAAAAGTATTACACTAAATTACATGAGCTCTATAGTATGAATATTAACAATGTAGGTTTAACCATTGAAGGGCTGAGATCGGATACTTTTGTCTGGAGACTTAACTTTGCAACATGAGAAAGAATTTGCATTAAAAATAACCTTTCAAACCCACAGCTTATCCCAAAGCATTTCAGAGCTATTTTCCAATCAACCCAGCACAGCAATGTTATTACGCAGCTCTGCAGCAAGTGGGACTTGAATGTGGGTCTCCTGGCTCAGAGGTAGTGACACTACCACTGCACCAAAAGAGCCCCTACTTCTGACGAAGTAAGCAACACCAGACAAATTTTCACACAACGAAAAACCAGAATGAGAAAATGAGAGGATTGACCAATTTATCTGTCTTTGCTGTTGAGGATTAATAATTGTTCAGAATATTACCTTCTGTTTCTTCCAAAATACTTACATGGGACATGCCCCTCCAACAATATGGCACTCCCTCAGTACTGACCCTCCGACAATGCAGTACTCCCTCATTATTGACCCTCGCAAAGTGCAGTACTCCCTCAGCATTGACCCTCCGACAGTGCTTCACTCCCTCAGCACTGACCGTCCAACAGTGCGGCACTCCCTCAGTACTGACCCTCCGACAATGCAGCGCTCCCTTAGCACTGACCCTCCGACAGTGCGGCACTCCCTCAGTACTGACCCTCCGACAGTGCGGCGCTCCCTCAGCGCTGACCCTCCGACAGTTCGGCGCTCCCTCAGCACTGACCCTCCGACAGTGCCCACTCCCTCAGCACTGACCCTCCGACAGTGCGGTGCTCCCTCAGCACAGGCCCTCCAATAGTGCCCATGCCCTCAGCACTGACCCCACCGTGAGTGCAGTTCTCCAACACTCTCTCATACTGAAGGGTCAGCCTGGATTATGGACTCCAGGCTCAGAAATGCTCTTCTTCGAGTCACATTGACCCTGTCTGTAGCTGTAGGCAGTTCCTCCTCCTCAAGAATTACAGGGTAATAATGACCATATAGTATAGTGTGGCACTGTGTTGCAGCAAGTGTCTGTATGTTGAGGATTGGAGGGTAGTGTGGTCCTGAGTGGGGACATGTGCCAGAAGCAGTCAGCAGTATTGTTTTTAAGGTTGTGGTGTGAAAATGATTAGCAACGTGTGTAATGACTGTTCCTGTTCCATTTAAATTGTCTGTTTTTGTCATAGTTTGCACATGAATGATGGTCTTAGTCAGAATTCATTACATGCCCAGTCTCCCTGGCCCTTCAAATTTAACACATTCATAGCAATGGAGAGCGTGAGAGTGAGAGAGAGACAGAACTCAAAAATGAAAAAGAAACAACAAGATCCACGATGACTCTTCACCGGGAACGCTGTTCCCATTCTCTGATCGTTGCCCCTTGATGTATTGGCAGCACATAACCACTCAACAGTGACTCTCAGCAAAGTAACAGTCCAGGCTGACAGTTCCCGAGCCGAGCCAAGCAAATGCTGCAGTGCCAGAGGTGCCACCTCTTGGACAGAACATTAAACTGTCGGTGATGTTAAAAAATAAACCGTCTGGGATTTAAAAGTCCCTTGGCATTATTTCAAGAAAGGGGAGCCTTCCTTGGTCAGGAGCAAATTACTGCAGATGCTGGAGTCTGTACTGAAAACAAAAAATGCTGGTAATTACAGTGGGACAGGCAGCATCCATGGAGAGAGACAGCAAGCTAACGTTTTGAGTCTTGATCACTCTTCATCAGAGCTGGTTATCTCCCTTGGTTAGCCCAGAGCCAATAATCATGACCATCATGAATTACCATCATGAAAACAGATTACCTGGTCCTTATTAGATAGGAGATCGTCGGAGCTTGCTGTATGCAAATTGGTTACTGTTCCTGACAACACTGACTACACAAAGGCATTACATTGGTTATAAAGCACCTCTGGCTCTTCCAAAGTTGATTAAAGGCACTGTATTCATACAAATCTCCTTTTATTTGATTGTAAACATAAAGTCAGAGATTACATGACACCAGGTTATAGTCCAACAGGTTTATTCAAAATCACAAGCTTTCAGAGCACAGTCTTTCACCTGATGAAGGAGCAGCGCTCCGAAAGCTTGTGATTTCAAATAAACCTGTTGGACTATAACCTGGTGTCATGTGATTTCTGACCTGGTCCACCCCAATCCAACACCAGCATCTCCACATCAGTGTAAAGATGGAGATAATAGTCAAGGGTTCCCGGTTCATTCTTAATCCTTGCAATCACTGTGTCTGCCGTCTCTACAAGGGGAATTGAGGAGTTTTTGTGATGAACCAAAGCTGTGAAATTGCAACAACTTTTATTTCACAGATTTTATTGTCAATCATCATTTTGCTGAGGAAGTAAATTCACTCTGTTTTTTCAGTAATACATACACAATTAGGCTTCAGCTCACAGAAGAACGAGACACACCACAACAACATACTACGGGAATTTCAGCTCCTCTCACCTCCTTGTCTTCACCTCCAATGGGTCCCATCAGACCACGAGTAATCACTTACACCCAGTGAGGAACTCTCTCCACACGCAACAGGAGAAGACAAACACCACAGGGTTGCTGTGATCTGGGACACACTGCCTGAAAGGACACTGGCTGCAAATTCAATTGGAACTTTGTCAAATTTGTAGGTCTTCATGAGAAAAGCACTGGGGGGGGGGGGGGAGGGGGGGGGGGGCGGGAGAGAAAGTGGAGGGTTCTTTTAAGGAGCTAGCACAGACAAAATAGGCTGAATAATCTTCTTACATGCTTCATGGTTCTACCAAAAGCGTGGGATTGCTGATGAGAGACCAGGAACTAGAATCAGAGCTGACCACTCCCTTCCTAACCCAGATGAGTTCTAAATCTCATTGGTTGCCTCCAATTTGGGTCTCACAAATATGGAGAATTTTAATCATTAATGTCCTGTGTATTTTCTTTGAGGAATGTCTCCTCTACCAAAATGAATTGCAGCACACTTCTCCAGATTAAATAACACTGAGAGCAGGGCACAGGCAGAGACCATTCAGCCCATCAAATCCATGCTGCTGTTAATTCTGCTTCTCCCCACTCCCCCAACCCTTTCAGGATATCCTTCCGGATTGCATGTGTTTCTCTAACTTCGCCTCAACTACATCCAGAATACTCCCCAAGTCTGAATATTCAACATTCCCTTTCTAAAGCAGCTGAAGCTCCACAATTATAGCTCATGATTAAATAACTAATCACAGGTCAGACAACACAATCCACGCTGGGGTTTGAGATGACAGTAACAGACGTTGTTCACAGCTTGATAATCAGTACACTCCCCGTTTCTGGTCCTTCTCTTCAAGCTCTGTCTCCCCCGTTTCCCGATCCCTGGCCTTCCCTGCTCAGTGTTCCAGGGGGTCGCAGGTTTTAGTACCAAAGGCCAGGCGGGTAGCAGCTTTACAGGTGAAGGTTGATGAGTCTTCAGTGATGGCGGCACAGCTGTTTAACTGGGCAGTGACTTCCTTCACACACATCTGCAATACAACGTTCTCTTAGAGAAAAAAGTACTCCACTGCTCACATGAGATCTTCTCAATGTGAAACCAGTGCTGAATAATAATTTCTCGCTCCACACACCCCTACCTCATCCCTTTCACTCTCCTGAATATGGTGCTGAGGCTCACTGCTACCTCCTCCATTCTCCAGCAGCCAGTATAAAATCGTAGGCTGTTCGACCATGTGGGGAAGCACATTTGGTTACTTCACAGAGGAACATGCACATGTCCATTCTCGTGCACACACCTGCACTCTACATATAGAATCCCACAGAGTGGAGAGAGGTCATTTGGCCCATCAGGTCAGCACTGACCCTCTGAAGAGCATCCGCCCCAAACCCAACCCCCTCCCCTATCCCTGTAACCCTGCATTCCCCATAGTTAACCCACCTAGTCTGCACATCCCTGGACACAATGGGGTAATTTTCCATGGCCAATTCACTCTAACCTGCACATCTTTGGACTGTGGGAGGAAACCGGAGCACCCGGAGGAAACCCACACAGACATGGGGAGAATGTGCAAACTCCACACAGACAGTCGTCCGAGGGTGGAACTGAACCCAGGTCCCTGGCGCTGTGAGGCAGCAGTGCTAACCACTGAATCACCCATATGGTGCTGACAATATGTACCCAGACAGGTACACACACACACATAGGCTCCCTCCGCCTCGCCCCCCCGCCCACCCATTGCTGGCACATTATCCAGTGGGCACTTGCTGATAATGTCTTTTCCCAGCTCTAAGCCTGGGACACTGTCCTTGGTCAGGTTACTGACCGAGTATTTTGCAGTCGAGGTCTCACTGCTACTGGAACCTGGGGAGTTTGTAACTCCGATGCTAGGACCCAGTTGGTACTAACCTGCCTGAACAACTAATAGAAGGGAAATCTCACCATCACAGTCTTCCACCTGCCCATTGCTTCGTGCTGCCAATCCTGTGCCAAGAAGTTCCCAAGCCTTGCCAGGTCTCGAGTAGTGCCCTCTTTGATCCCACTCCGTCGGGTATACTGGGAATGTCGGATACCCTGCAGTAACCCAGAGGGTCTCCCGACTGAGTAATAACGGGGTCTCGGTGCCTGCCTGTACCAGACACAGGCTGGTGAACTGGACAGGAGGCAGAAAAGCATCAAGAGCCCAGCTACGACAGTCACTCCAAGAGGAGCCATCCTACAGCCTGGGTGAGACGTGTCTGTCACACTCTCTGACACACAGAGCTCCCTTATGTCACCCACCTCTTTGTGACGTTCCCACTGCTGCTGTACTTCCCATTCAGGCGTCTGCAGCATCTGCAGCTTGATAGGTCTGAGAGACAGAGACAGAATCTCCGCACTTTCATTTCTCAGCCACTGAATGTTTTTTCAGATGTTTATGTGAATTTACAGATGGTTGAACAGCGAGGGCTGGCAACCTCAAAGGTCTGAAGCAATGTAAAGCAGGAGTGGGATAAAGAGGTTACAGGAAAACACTGACCTGCATTTGTATAGCACCTATGCCTCACTGGCTATAAAAGTTTTTTATATTCACAGGATACAGTCACACAGCACAGAAACAGACCTTCCGATCCAACTCATCCATGCCAACCAGGTTTGTGGGCATTACTGGCATTTATTGTCCATCCCTAACTGTCCAGAGGGCAATTGAGAGTCAATCTCTGTGGGTCTGGAGTCACATGTAGGCCAGACCACGTAAGGATCGCAGCTTCCTGCCCTCAAGGGCATTAGTGAACCAGATGAGTTTTTACAACAATTGAAAATGGTTTCATGGTCATTGTCAGACTCTTATTTCCAGGTAGTTATTGAGTTCAAAGTCTGCTTTCAGCAACAGCAGGATTTGAGCTAGGTGCCCCAGGACAATACCTGGGTGTCTGGATTAATGTCTAGCGATACTACACAGACATCACCTTCTTCAGAAGGGTCCAGACCTGAAACGTCAGCTTTCCTGCTCCTCTGATGCTGCCTGACCTGCTGTGTTCCTCCAGCTCCACACCTTGTTATCTCAGACTCCAGCATCTGCAGTTCTTACTATCTCATCACCTTCTGATGATGCAAAAGTTGATAAGTCACTGCATTACAGTTCATTACAACTTCTCCTGTCTGTGTGACAGTTGAGGATACAGTCATGCTGAGCAGTGATGCCCCCTGTAGTTAAACAGCCAATATTCACCATCTGCTCCTGGGAAGAACAGACTGAGTGATGTACAAGAGACCCCCTGGTGTGTGCAACCCAAACCCAGAAATACAACAACATCCCAACACCAGATCCACATCCCGACACTAGATCCCCATACCGATGTTAGATGCACATCTCGACACCAGATCCAAGTCCCAACACCCAAAACTGCTTTTCTATACTTCACTAAGAGAGCTTGTGTGTACCTGTGTCTCTAACATCACTTTCAATGGCTTTGAATTATTATCCAGACCTAACTAACCTGCTTGATTGGTGTCCCCATTCAGCATTGACACACAGTAGCAGCAGTGTGTACTATCTACAAGATGCTCTGCAGAAATTCACCAAAGATCCTCAGACAGCACCTTCCAAACCCATGACCACTTCCATCCAGAAGGACAAGGGCAGCAGATACATGGGAACACCACCCCCTGCAAGTTCCCCTCCAAGCCTTCCACCATCCTGATTTGGAATATATCGCCGTTCCTTCAGTGTCGCTGGATCAAAATCCTGGAATTCCCTCCCTAAGGGCATTGTGGGTGTCCCTACAGCACATGGACTGCAGTGATTCAAGAAGGCAGCTCACCCCCACCTTCTCAAGGGGCAACTAGGGACAGGCAATAAATGCTGGGCCCAGCCAGTGACACCCACATCCCCATGAAAAATGCTCATCTCTCTTTATGAGATTGTAATTCTAATATTTAAACAAGGGGTTTACAGTGTGAGCAGGTGTGTGGGTTACGAAACTGTAAAGATTGCAGCTGACTAGCTATACAACCAACCCACTTCATTGGGAAACACAGGATAACGTCTAATCCACAAGAATCCCTTTACAAATACGATGCTTATTCTCGATAACTTTATGCTCATATCACAAGTTCAGGGTAAATGTCCTGAGTTTCTGCTCATATCACAAGTTCAGGGTAAATGTCCTGAGCTTTGCTCGATACAGCAGTACATCACTTAATTACCACAAGGTAACCTGGCCTCCAGACAGGATTAATTGCATTCCTGCTCTGTAAATAAGAAATGAGGAACAGACACTGCTACTGCTCAAGTGACCTCAGTACTGATATCTGCATTGAAGCTGCAAATCTGAAATAAAAATCAGAAAGGGCTGAAGAAACTCAGCAGGTCTGAAAGCATCTGTGGAGAGAGAAACAGAGTTGATGAACTATAGAAGAGTCATTGAACTTAAATCATTTACTTCAATAACATCTCTCCACAGATGCTGCCAGCCCTGGTGAGCTTCCCCAGCATTTTTCAGTTTTTGTTACTGATATTCACAGGGAGTAGGTTCCCTTTCCAAAGGGAGAGATGAGAAAGCAAGACATCGCAGTTGTCAATGCCTCTCTCCTTCACTTACTGCCTGGTGAGAAATGCATGTTAAGTCGGGAGCTGATACACTCTCTCTCACTGGTCCAGTAACTCAGAGCGCACGGCTCAAATTCCATTCGGTAACTGGGGAATCAAAATCCAGATAATTAACTAAATGTGGGATTAAATATCTAGTGTCAGCGACAATGAAACTTTACTTTTCCACTTATTACTAAGAAGGACTCTAATATTTAACCTTTGTTTCTTCATTTTTCTATTTTGTACCTAGGTACCTTTGTACCCAAGATGGTACCAGGAATGGTGACATTATACACTGTATTTCACTGTATTCCTGCACTTGAGCACACATGACAATAAAATCTAATTCTAATTCTACCTGTGTATTGTTAAAACCCATCTGGTTCTCTAACCTCCTTTATGGAAGGAAATCTGCCATAATTACCTGTTCTGACCTACATGTGACTCCACACCCACAGCAATGTGATTGATTCTTAACTGCCCTTTGAAATGTCTAGTTCCTGTTCAAGGAAGTTCATCAAAACCTTCATTGTGGGAGGGCATGTTGCAATGAGGGCATAAGGAATCTACAAGGGGATATAGATCAATTGAGTGAGTGGCCAAAAACTTGGTAGATGGGGTTTAATGTCAGGAAGTGTGAGGTTGTGCACTTTAGTGGGAAGAATCCAAAGGCAGACTATTAAATGGAGACAGACTCCAAAAAAAAAAGTGCAGTGCAGAGGGATCTGGGGGTAGTTTGTGTATGAAACACAAAACATTGGCATGCAGGTGCAGCAAGTACTTTTAAAAGCAAATGGAATTCTGACCTTCATTGCTAGAAGGTTGGAGATTAAACATTAGGAAGTCATGTTGCAGCTGCGCAGTGTATTGACAAGGCCACACCCACAGTACTGCTGCAAATTCCTGTATTTAGGGAACATACTGAGATTAGAGACAGTTCAAATGAGATCCATCAGGCCGATTCCTGGGATGGAGGAGTTTACTTATCAAGAACAGCTAAACAGATCAGAGCTTCATTGGGGTTTAGAAGAATAAGGAGTTATCTTATTGAAACATACAAGATTCTGAGGGGGCTTGACAGGGTCAATGTTGAGATGTTGTTTCCACTAACCTCAAACTAAAGGACAGAGTTACACAAGGGCATACTCATTTTAAACCGAGATATGAAGGAATTTCTTCTTTCAGAGAGGAGTGAATGTCTGGAATTCTCTACCCTACAGAGTTCTGGAGGCTGGATCACTAGAAGTATTTAAAGAGGGAGATAAATTAAGGGAATTGAGGACTATGATGAGCTACCACACTAGGAGCTGAGGCATGGAGCATATCAGCCTGATCTTGTTGGATAGTAAGGCAGGCTTGAGGGGCCAAACAGCCTACTTCTGCTCCTATTACTTATGCTCTTCTCATTCACAACTTTCTGAAGGACAATTGGGGTGGACAATAAATGTTGGTCGTGTCAGCCCAGACCTCTCTGGTGGATATAAGTGGTAAATGCACAGACTGTGTAAACGAGCCTTTGTTTTGACTGAAATTAGCATCAGTGTCAAAAACTGCAGCAGCAATCCATCCAAAATGGTCACAGTGATTTCCAACACCAAACAAAGGCCAGCTCAGACAGTAAGAGCTGCGCTTCAGCACTCACCCAGTTCAATAAAGCTCCTGTCTCGCGGTTTTTGGGGGGGAGCTTAACTATTCAGTGACTCTGTAAGCATTAGGGGTTCTCTTGATGATCGTGTCTCTACCCACCCTCAGAATCAGGTGCTGCTGTTTGAGGGATCGCACTGTGTACATATTGGCTACATTACAATCCCCGCTCTTCAACAGAATTCAGAAACCTTTGAGTGTTCTTTATTTTTAAGAAAGGAGTTCACCTTCAATAACCTTCAACTCCTGGCTGTTAAAGCAACATGCCAGACACGTTAGATCACTGTTTTAAATTTCAAAGGCTCTCTCCCAAAACACAAACAACTACTTTGCAGTGGAGTCCGCACAGAACCACTGCTCACTTTAAGGGTCAATACAGACATAACACACCTCACTCACCTACAAAACACTTGCTGAGATGCCAGGAGATAAACCTCTGACTCACTAAGACACAAGTCCCATGGTGACACTCCCAGCGCTGCACTGATAAGAGATGCTACCTTTCAGATGAAACACTAAAGCAATATCTGCTTTCCCGGGAGGGACTAGAGCAAGCCTTGGTCAGTGTGACAGTGAAATCTCCCTTGGTCCCCTGGCAAATATTTCTCATTTCTGCTTGTGGGAGCTTGCTATGTATTTCTCTCAAATTGACACTTGCTAAGGTACATAATCGAATTGGTGTTGATACTTTCCAATCCACCTATTCAAATGCTACTAAACACCTTTGGAGCAGGCAGGATTTGAATCAGGGCCTCCTAGCTCAGACATAGTGACACTACCACTGGACCACAAGAGCTAAATTGGTGAAGTCTTATATGTTTTTCCCCTATATCCTTAAATGTTCTTACACACAACTGAACACTTTTTTCTTGCCAATCACCCACAAACCACCAGCAAATTGGTTGGGTCTTCCAATAATTTTCTTTACAATCACCTGAATAATATTGTTACAATAAAGACCTTTACCACAACAGGATGAGAACTAGAATCTAATTTCAGCAGAAAGATGTTGAGTTAACAGACTTGCTGCTTACTGTGACATTAACTTTTTTTTTCCATTTCCAGTCAGCAACCAGCTTCAAATTAAAGGAACAAATTGTGACTATTGAGCCAAACTGTGGCTTGCAGGAATCAGGGAATTTAGTAGTGGGTTACTTGCTTCAAGCCAAAAAAACACTGGCTTGCTTTTTTATTGTTAGGGGAGATAGGAATGGGCAATAAACGATGGGCCAACTAATTGTGCAGATGGCAGTTAAGAATCAACCACATTGCTGTGGGTCTGGAGTCACATGTAAGCCAGACCAGGTAAGGATGGCAGTTTCCTTCCCTAAAGGATATTGAGCCTGGTGGGTTTTTTGTGTCCAACAATTGGCAATGGATTCACGATCATCATTAGACTCTCAATTCGAGATATTTTACTAAATTCCACCACCTGCCGTACTGGGATTTGAACCAGAGTCCTTGGAACGTTACCCGAGTCTGTGGATTAACAGTCCAGCGATAATAGCGCCAGGCCATTATCTCCCTGTTGTATAAGGATTTGGTGAATTTCTGCAGCTTGTCTTGCAGACAGCGAGCACTGTGCTACTGAGTGTCGGTAGTGCTGAAGGTGGAGGATGTGGCACTGAGATTCTTGAGTGTTGTTGGAGCTGCATCCATCCAAGCAAGTGCATCACACTCCTGACTTGTACTTTGTAGATTCTGGTTTTGACTCTCAGGAGTTTCAGATCTCACTGGCACCATTGAGCTGGCTGCATGACAGGGAGAATTAGGCAGCTATTCAACTGTGGAAGATTCGGATCCCATACCTACTAGATACTTGCTCTATTGAGCACGAAGAGGCAGTGCCACAAACAGAAGGGAGTGTGCAATCAATCTCCTTTACATTGTACTGTCCCAAACAATTGGAAAACAAAATCTTCAAAATGGAACATTTTATTGTAATTTTTAATTGTACATAGACTCAGACCCTGTTCCCCCCCTACCCCAAACCCTGCCCAACAGCTTCAAAATCTGACAGAATGAACTCATTCTGGAACACCTTTCAAATCTTCCCATTAAGTGGTGTCACTGCCAGTCCTGCACCCATCTTGAATTTTAAGCACATCTGTCGTTGTATCTACAGCACCCTGATCCAACAGATCTGATTCTTCGCCCCTATATCTGCCCTAAGCTTACTTTGTAGGATATTAAACACGTCCTTCCGCACACCATTTCAGAATATTCTGCATTCTCCTACCTATAGTTTCATGAAAATGCATCTGTCAGGGCTCAAATTTAAACCCCATGACACACAAGCTTGCCATATGCTCAGTCTCAGATCGATCAAGTGTCTTCAACTATTTTTCAAGTACAGGCCAATGGGAAGCAGCTGTGGGAGATTAATTTGTAGGAAGCACAACTCCAAGACGACTAGGGATTCCACAGCCTGGGAGTAAGCAGAAGCTCTATTAAGTCCCCAGTGTGTACCTCAATAACTGACCTCAAATAGACTCTCAGATGTTAGAAGCCTAGAGTAGCCGGGGGGGGGGGGGGTGGTGGTTGTTGTTACTGTAAAATGGGAATGGACAGAGAGGTGTGAGAGAAAGAAAGAGAATGTAGAGGGAGGAAGGACAGAACGAGAGAGCGTGACAGAGCACGCACACACTGTAACACTCATCTACAAGGATGCCAATTGTGAAGTTGGACCAGAGAAGCACAACAGCTACACCAACAGATGTTAGGGTTTTGGTTAAAAACATCGAAGGTAGCATTTCAGAACTGTTTTGTTTTGAGTGAGTGTACGAGTTGCTTGTATTCATCGCTTGCCTTGCTACATGATGGGTAAAACTTTGAATGTAGTGCTGGCAAGACATGACCTACACAACTGTGCGACTATCAAAGCTTTGCATCACTGTGTGCCATCTTCCTCTTCGTCATCCTCATCCTCCTCCTCCTCGTCTTCTTCTTCAGAGCTAAAGGTACCGTCAGGGAGGCTATAGACACGAATCACTTGCTGTAGAAAAAGGACAGAGACAGAAAGGCAGGTTCAGCAACAAACAGGCACCAAGTGAAGCAAAGTAAATGTGACCCAGTGATAGCACTAGCATCCACATGGGCACACATCACCAACACACATGGGAGCAGCAGTAACTCCAATTATTTATAGGCTATTGCCAAAAATAATTCACTGCAAGTTTTCTGTTATCCTTCAAGTGAATTAATCATCTGCCTCTCCCAAACAAACAACAAACAAATCAATGAACCATGTTCCAGTCATATTTCGACACCCAACCCACAACTCTTTCTCCAAAAACCGATGATATCATCAGTGCTGCTTCCTCGCTCATCTAGAATAGAGAAAGTTCATCGATTTTGCTTCCAATTTCCACCCTGACTGTGCTTTCACCTGATCTGACTCCTCCCTTCCTTTCCTCAACATCTGTTTCCATTTCTGGGGATAGGCTGACCACTAATATCTACTATAAACCCACCGACTCCCACAGCTACCTGGACTATACACCCTCACACCCTGCTTACTGTAAAGACTCCATCCCATTCTCTCAGTTCCTCAGTCTCCGTCGCACATGTTCAGATGAGGCCAATTTCGACAAGGGAGCCTCCAAAATGTGACAGGGCCCTCAACCAGGTCTGACCCATCTCCTGCACTTCCTTCTCTTCCCTCCTACAACAGCGATAGGGTTCCCCTTATGATCACCTACCATCCCACCAGCATCCACATCCAGAAGATCATCAGGCCCCATTTCTGCCACCTCCAGACACATACTCCCCTCCCCTCCCTTGATCACCTTCTGCAGGGACCGTTCCCTCCAGGACACCCTGGCCACGGTTCCTTCACTCCCAACACCAACACCTGCCCCTCCCCACCGACAGCCCTACGGCACCTGCCCATTTATCCAAGGGCCCAAACATAGTTTCCAGGTGAAGCAACACTTCACCTCCACTTCCCAGAATCTAGTCTACTGCATTCGCTGCTCACAATGTGGTCTCCTCTACACTAGGGAAACAAAACATAGACTGGGTGACCACTTCACACAACACCTACGTTCTACTCGCAAAAAAGACCCTGAACTACCTGTTGCCTGCCACTTCAATGTACCACCCTGCTCCCTGGCCAACATCTCTGTCTCTGGTTTGCTGCAGTGTTCCAGCGAAGCTCAACGTAAGCTGGAAGAACAACACCTCATTTTCCGCATGGGGACCCTGCAGCCCTCCGGACTCAATATCGAGTTCAATTTTAGGGCCTAAACTCTCCCATGTCCCAGCCCCCTACCCCACACACCAGGCTTTGTTATCACATAGCCTGCCAGTACACACTACCTATTGTTAGTGACTAACAGTCCCCGTTAACAACTATTCACCCTCCTAACCAGATCGTCATCAACTCCTTTGTCTATCCAACTGCAATTCTCTCTCTTTGCGCTCTATCCTTTACCCTATTGTTTACACTCTACCTCACCCTCCTGCCTATTTTCTGCATATAAACTGACGTTTTCCTAGCTACCATCAGTTGAGGAAGGGTCACCAGACCAGAAATGTTAGCTCTGATTTCTTCTTCACAGATGCTGCGAGACCTGCTGAGCTTCTCCAGCAACTTCTGTTTTTGTTCCCGATTTACAGCATCGGCAGTTCTTTCGGTTTTTAAACTGCCCTCAACTGCTGACCTCCAGCTCCTGAATTCACAGCTTACATTCCAGCTCCATGTTCCAGTTGTTATGTATAGAGTTTGTTGAGGAGAAACTGCATCAAATGTTAACCAACAGCACACAACCAGATCCAATCACCTCCAGTATTGAGTTTCCACTGAAATGGAGAAGCGGTTCCTGTGCCCAGAGCTTTTTAAGCCATTTTAATGAAGAAGCTCTGAATCTGCAGACACTTCCAGTAGAAAACACATTAAATGAAATTTACTGGAATGTTGTTCAGCAAAATGAGTCCATGCACAGGTCAGCTCTCAGCCCTACCTCATCTCATCCCATCATATTCTTTATTCCCTTTACCTATAGATTGTCCTCAAACATTCCCCTGCATTGTGCGCACTGTGCCCTGCTCTGAGCTGAAGTCAGCTTGCTACCTGATCCATAACTACCGCACACAGACAGACAGACGCACGGAGCTCACCTTGTTAGGGTCTTTCAGAATCAGGTATTTGCCCTCATCCAGTTTCATGCAGATGTCAATGACACAGCGCAGGATACCCCAGGCATTCTCCATGCTCAGGTTAATCTGACTGGCAAACTCGTTGGGCTTGAACTGCTGGGTGCCCAGAATCACGTGACGAGACGAGTCCTTGATGTGGAATCGGGACACATACCTTTACACAGAGAGACAGAGAGATTGGTCTCGATGGCTAATGGCCTTCCCTTCCACTGTTGGACGCTGTTCTGATGCACTGTGCAGCAACTGAGTCAGAGAGCTCAGCTGTTGACAGTGTCAGCCCCAGTGTCCTACTTTTGCCGGTATTTTAAGAGCCTTTTTTTTTTGAAAAGGGGTTCATTCATGGAATGTGGATGTTGCTGGCTGGACCAGCATTTGTTGCTATCCCTAACGCCCCCATGAGGAGACAGTGATAAGCCAATATCTTGAATTGCTACTGTCCATGTCAGGCCGGTCCTCCCACAGTGCTGTTAGGGCCATAGGTGCAGGATTTTAACCAAGTGACATTGAAGGGGCATTGAAGTAGCTCCAAATTGTGAATTATAGAAGAAGGGGGAGAAAAAACAAAAGGTTGAGAATGAACTTATGAACATGGCAAGACAATTTTAACATGAACGAGGAAGGTCAGAGTTCAGAAAAGCAAAAGTGACAAGACGAAGAAGAAGTGTGAGATAAAGAGAATAAGGAGCAAAGGATATTCAATATCCTGCCACAGGACCAGAAACTCCCTTGGTCTTCTTTTGACAGCATCTTGGAAGTTTCCTGCATATATCCAACACAACTGACAGAATCTTGGGTTTATCACCACTGACCCTACTTCTCCCACACACACACACAACTCTTGAGCTCCCACAACAGTGTGGCATTCCCCAAGCCTGACCAACCAACCCCCCACAACATTGTGCAGAGCCCCAGCTCCCCCCCACCCTGAGAGAATGGCATGTTCCCTCAGTAATAACCCCACCAGGTCAGTAGTCAGTCTGCACTGCTCCTCAGACAGTGTGGTCCTGCTTCAGTGTGTATCTAGAGTCTGGATGTAGCTTGGCCCCACAATGTTGTCCCAGAGGCGAGAGTGCCCCCAGTGAGCTGAGACTCGGACGTACAGTAACAACAAAGTGAAATGACCTTAGACAAGAAGCTCAACAATAAAACAGGTCAGTTGAAACTCATGCATCTTGCTCTACTTACATTTAGGACTCTTGGAAATCTCAGGTTCTTTCTACCTTTCTCTGTTCGGTTCCAAAACCTCATTCCTTACCCAAGTTTGAGATATTCTGATCCAGCCAGCAGGGCACAGCAGGTCCATCGAGCTAGCTTGTAGCTGTTATTCTTCAACTCCGTGGCGAGGACAGCTCCCCTCTGTGAGTCCAGCTTCTGACGCCAGTCCACGCCGTTACAGTACTACAGAGAAACAGGAATTCAGTCTCTTACAGAAAGGCAGGGGGACCCCATCCCATTGTTAACAGGAACACGAGGGTCAGTCACTCACAGTCAAGACAGGAACCAAAGGCTGCAGACAGCCACCAATGAACCCCACAGTTCCAATTCTTGGTTAGTGTCAAGTCAATCCCATCCCCACTTACAACAAACTGTCAATACCAGCAGGCTCCTGGGGTCCCAAACCATCAATATAGAACATCAGTAAATACTGACATGCTCTGTCCCCACCTATAAACGCCGACACATTCCCCGCACACCCTCCAATAAACACTGACACACTCTGGGGACAGCAGTTTTTGTTCAAACCATCGTTGTGCAACGGTTAAAGAGCTCCGATATCTGACTCTAAGGAATGAGGTGCAGATCCTGCTCCTGTGCAGTAGCTCAGGGCGTACCCGAGAGTCCCACTCGTTCAGAGTCTTGATGTTGATGAAGGACACTTCACCGTTGGCGCCCGTCATGACACCATCGTGCTCACATCGCACGATCAGGTCAATGTCTTCACCCAGCTTCCACCGCCGATACCTGCAGAGGCCAGTCAAAGGGAAAAGTGTGAGGGAGGGAGGGACACTGCCACATCAGCATTAGAGAATTAAAGCAGCTCAGGGTACAGTGACATCACTGGAGAAATGATCCAGGAAACGAGAGGTCAAATCTCACCATTGTAACTTGAGTATGTGACTCAAACTGTACTTTTAAATGTGGAAACACAGTGCTAGGATCAGTGAAAGTATCATTAAGCTGTCAGGCTGTCCTTTTTGTAAAGCTCTAGGGAAAGGAACCAGCCCTCCTTACACAGTCTAAGGCCACTGTAATGGGAGTTACACACCAACTCAGGTTGACTCTTAACTGCCCTCAGAAACAGCCAGACAAATTTCACTAAACTGGAACAACTCACAAAGCAGCTTCACCACCCTCTCCTCGGGATGACATGGGCTGGACAGTAAATGCCAGCAATGCCCGCGCCCCAAAAAACAGGGGGAAATGTATTTATGGGGGAGTACTAGCAGAGGGCGGTGGATACCAGCCAGTGAATGTCTTGGGAGCTATTCATTCCGAGGAACCAGTCGTGACCAGCTCGTGGTGCTGTCTGCACCCAGGGCACCATTGCCCCATGCATCAACAGCTAGGGATACTTTGCCCCTTAATGTACAGCACAGACCTCATGGACCAAATGACTTGTTTCTGTTCTGTAAAATTCCTTTTGTAACTTCCTGCCAAATTTCAGGGGCATGCAAAATTATGGTTCTATGCATTACATCTAATTATTGTGACCCTCATGCATTTTATGGGTCTAAATGCAAAACTCTAGAGGACCCGATGCAGGTTCTGTCAGCCACATTGTGTTGTGTGAAGTCACTTGCCCAAGCCATTCTTCATGTGGTTACTCATCACAAGATTCAGATCCAGTAGATCACAAGCTCACAGGTCCGCGAGTGAACACTCACTCTCACCCACCTGTATCCCACTGAAGCCACCTCGTTCTTATCCACGTCGTCTTCTACAAAAGGGTTTGGATTTGGGAACTTGTACTTCTCGACGCCCTAAGGAAGAGAGGGAGACACAGAGAACGTGAATAGCAGCTGAAATTACTGCAGAAAAACTCTCATACCCAAGAGGCAATACGTTAACCAGCTACAGCGAGCCGCCCTGTTGTCACCGCACGTTACCAAAGGATCCCAGCTCCACTTGATAACCTGTTCCCCACCTTCCAAAAGTTGGGAAAGCTTTCGCAGGTCAAAAATCAAACAGGAGATTACATAGAATCCATAGAACTTAGAAACAAAGGCACAAAAAACAGTGTTATTTATATTGTCAGACTTTATTGTGCCTGTCAGAACACCCTAAAGCACTTTACATTATTTATTTACATTAATAACTGTGACCCTCATGCATTACAGTGTAGACAAAATAGACAATCTTCAAACAGATACTTGATGAGCAATATTTAGTTTCTAGAGAATTAAGTGGGAATGGCATGCACAATAGCTTCTTCCTGCCTGCATATATTTTTAAATTATATCTGATTGATTGGCAACACCAGTTTAAGAAATAAAATGAAATATTTGGCTTCTCTCACCAACTCTGCATAACTGTTCCTGTCCCTCAGGGTCACTAAAAACTTTGTTCTCCCCATTCAATGACATCTGGGCTGATCTCTGACCTTATCTAAATACCCATTTTGGATACATAGCCCTCCAATACTTTTCACTAAGAGTATTATGAAGCTCAGATTTAAAATTAACAACTGATCCAGCATCAGTTGTCACGTGTGAATTCTGGATAATTTTTACACTTTTCCTTTAATTTGCTCATGAAACGTGGGCGTCACTGGCTAGGTCAGCATTTACTGCCCATCCTCACTCATCCAGAGAGCACTTAAGAGTTAACTAAATTGCTCTGGGACTGGAGTCACATTTAGGCCAGAACAGGTAAGGATGGAGGAGTTCCTTCTCTGAAGGACATTAGTGAACTAGATGGGTTTTTTATGTCAATCCTCAGTGGTACATGGTCATCATTAGGCCAAGTCTCTATTCCAGATTTTACGGAATGCTAATTTCACCATTTGCCAAGGAGTGATTCAAATCCCTATCCCAGAATATTGGCCTGAGGTTTATACTGCTAGTCCAGTAATATGACTACCATACCCACCCTCCCACAGTCCTAAACTCAGCAACCAGCAGAGACAGTACTTTTTTGTATCTCCCGTTTCTGTTCCTCTTCATATCTTGAAAACCTGGATTCAATTCAGCACCCCCATCCCTCAAAATTCTGACTCTCACCTTTCCCCACTCTGCCATATCTCAGAGGACACTGCAGTACGTTTCTTAGGCTCAAAACAAAAAGGGCATTCATTATGCTGTCAGGTACTTATGGCAGTGATTGCCAGCAATAAACTGAACACAGTATTCTGGCTGAGGCCTAGCCAGTGCTTCCTAAAACTTCAGCACCTTTGGTATCACATAGACCAGTCACTTACATCGTTTGATGTCCCTTTTCTCACCATCTTCAGGCATTGCTGAGAGAAGTTGTGGTTGATGTAAGTGGCCTCCATGGCCAGATTTCGGGGAGAATTGAAAGAATTCCCTTCATCTTGAGGTGGTTCATTGGCGGTTTCGCTGACTGTCAGGAGGTCTGCATGATATAAAAGACAGTAAATTTACAAGCAGCCACAGGGCCTGCAGCCAGACATTAAAAAAAGTGTGCGCGAAGGGAGATGGATTAATAGTAATATCACTGGGCTAGTAATCCAGAGCCACAGGCCAATGTTCTGAGGTCAGGTGTTCAAATCCTACAATGGTATATTGAAATTTGAATTCAAATTCAAAAACTCTGGATTAAAAAGCTGGTCTAACAGTAACCATGTAACCACAGTGAATTGTTGCAAAAACCCAGCTGGTCCTTTAGGGAAGGAAACTGCCATCCTTTCTTGGTCTGGCCTACATGTGCCACCAGACCCACAGCAATGTGGTTGACTCTTAACTGCCCTCTGGGCATTTAGAGGCAGGCAATAAGCACCCATGACACTATGCCAAGAATGAATAAAGCAAAAAGGACGTTGTAAATGTTGAGAGAGGAGGTGTGGGTGTGTGTGTGTGTGTGTGGGTGGAGTGTGTGTGTGGGGGGAGTGTGGGTGGGGGGGGGGTGGGGGGGCGGGGTGTCTGTGTTGGGGGGTGTGTCTGAGAAGCAATGCCTGCCGCAGTGCTGCACCTGGCAGTTTCCTCCTTACCAAAGTCGGAGTGGTCACGTTTATCGAAGAAGAGTTTGGATCCGACCCGCTGCACGATGATGTCCCACGAGTAGACTGACCTGGTGCAGCACATCAGAGTGGCCAAGATGGCATCGGTCGCAAATACATTGCCCTGAGACTTGGCCAGCTGTAAACGAGCAAACAATAAAACCAAATCAGTGGCTCATTCCAAACATTTGACAGACGGGTAAAATAAAACAGGAATAATCAACACCTTAAACTCCACTTTGGGACATGGAGTTATGTCGGATTAAACAGCATTAAAGGATTTGACTGGCAAATTAATTATAGCTTTGTGACAAGAGTACTCTTAAGCAGCATAAGAGCCTTGAAAACACGTGCAGCAAAATCACTTGGCACCTCCTTGAGCTACAGGGAGAGGCTGAATAAGCTGAGGGGGTGACCTTATAGAGGTTTATACAATCATAGGGGGCATGGAGAGGGGGAATAGCCAAGGTCTTTTTCCCCAGGGTAGGGAGTCCAAAACTAGAGGGTATAGGTTTGAAGAAGTGAGAGGTGAAAGATATAAAAGGGACCTAAGGGGCAATTTTTTCCACACAGAGGGTGGTGCGTGTATGGAATGAGCTGCCAGAGGAAGTGATGAAGGCTGGTACAATTACAACATTTAAAAGGCATCTGGATGGGTATATGAATAGGAAGGGTTTAAGAGGGACACGGGCCAAATGCTGCCAATTAGGACTAGGTTAATTTAGATATCTGGTCGGCATGGACAAGTTGGACTGAAGGGTCTGTTTCTGTGCTGTACAGCTCCATGACTAATTCCCTTCGGAGTCACATTGTACCTCACCTGATCAGGTAATACTGTCACCTGGCCTTAATAAATGGATCCAGGAATTCCACCGCTAACACCACTGTGGGGATGAGGGTCACCACCGCGGGGAGTGGTGTAAACGGTTGCTCTGCTGTCACCTACTTGGAGCATACTGCAATAAATGCTCATTTTAATCAGGGTCTCAAACATCCAGTGGACAAATAACACAAGGATGACTGCCCAGTGACTCAATGAACTGGACAGGGAGGTGTACCCATGTCAAATACCAGGCAAGGTGACATTCAGAAACACACACAAAGAACAGTGAACTATCATACCAGAACGGAAACGTTAACTCTATTTCTCTCTCTCTGCAGGTGCTGCCAAATTTGCGGAGTTTCTGAAGCACATTCAACAACTCAGGCAGCATCTGTGAAGACAAGTCCAACAACCTCGTCCTCCTCCTTCTAGGTGGAAGTGGTCAAGGGTTTGGAAGGTGCTGTCTGAGGATCTTTGGTGAATTTCTGCAGTGCATCTTGTAGATAGTACACACTGCTGCTACTGAGCGTCGGTGGTGGAGGGAGTGGATGCTTGTGGATGTGGTGCCAATCAACGGGCTGTTTTGTCCTGGATGGTGTCAAGCTTCTTGAGTGTTGTTGGAGCTGCACTCATCCAGACAAGTGGGGAGTATTCCATCACACTCCTGACTTGTGTCTTGTAGATGGTGGACAGGCTTTGAGGAGTCAAGAGGTAGGTTACTCAAGTTGCCCTCTAAGCCGCTCACCATCGTGATTTGGAAATATATTGCTGCTCTTTCAGTGTCGCTGGGTCAAAATCCTGGAATTTCCTCCCTAAGGGCATTGTGGGCCACCACACAGCACATGGACTGCAGTGGGTCAAGAAGGCAGCTCACCCCCACCTTCTCAATAGGTATCAAGTATGGGCAATAAATGCTGGCCCACACAGAGGCATCCACATCTCACAAACGGTTTAAAAACAATGCTGTGCCGAGAACCCATCCTAGTCTCCTGGTGACTGACAGGAAACTGCCAATCATTTCCAGTCCAGCTAGGAAAACTGTCACTCACCGCAGCTTGTCCTGAACCCTGGTTAACAGGTCCTGGGATATTGCTGCCCCTCCTGCACTCACCCGGCCCTCTTTGACCAGATCCAATCTGTGAGCTCACCTTCCGGATGACGGGATCGTCGGTGGTGGTGACAGTGTGGAAAATCCTCTTGATGCTGCGCAGTGGTTTCTCATTGCGTGTGGTGATTCGGTCGAAGGCCTTGTCATAGTACTCCAGTGTACCACAGCACTCTCTGAGAACAGGAGCAGGGAAAACAGCAGTGAGACTGTGACCAGATTGGTTTCAGTGGCACAGACTGAGAGATAAACACTGGGGAGACCCACAAAACTCCTCTTTGAAGCGGGGCAGAGGGGGTCTTGCCTGAAAAGACAGCAGCACTCCTACAGTACTGCCCTGAACTTGGGGATTGGGAACTCAAACTGGGGCAGCAACAAAACGGGAACAGCTAGTTTTGCCCACAGGGAGCGTCAAGAACTGAAAAAGTGTTTTCCACAGACCATACTGCATGAGGAGTCAGGGTCGCAGTGACTGGGCAAGAGCTGCAATGGCAAAGTAACCTGGCTGCCTCTATTAGTCAGGGAAGGGCGGGAGAGGACGTAGTGACACTGGGGGAGGCAGGGAAAGACAAGATATCTATTTTGAAAATACTCACATGTCGCTGGGTTCAGCCACTTCCATGTACCTCATCTTCATCAGCCGAGGGAAGTCCATCTCTTCTTTCACCTCCCAGTCACTGCGCACCTCAACAGAGGAATCTCTTGGCTTCAGCTGGAAGTAGAGTAGGGAATGTGTCAGCAACCCCAGCACAGACAGTTACTGGTGCATTACTCATCCATGGTCACCAAAGTTAAAACAAGGCTGGCTGGAAAATCTCACATTTCACTTCCACTAACAAAACATCTTAAATAAAAAAGTTCACCAGGACATTGCTAGAATTCAGCTCTGCAAAAACCTTCCTTTATCCCTTGTACTGACAACATACTCCAGAATGAGCAGTAATTATATTGCCTCATTAATATTTTTAAATTATCTAAGATGCCTCACAAGAAGATTGTCAGAAAAACAATGCTCAAAAATCGACAGAATGACAAATTGTGGGGATACCGGAGCTTGGAGGAAGTACAGAATGTCGCTCGACAACACAGTAAAACACAGAAGCCTGCAGGTCTCTAAAAGGAGCCACTGTCTACTTTAGTCCCTTGAGAAAGCTATCCATTATCACTACGCTTCCACACAGTCCTGTGCCATATCCTCTGTTCCCCAATAAATTATTGCCTTAATGCAATTCCCCATGCCTCTGTCTCCAATACCACCTCCTTTCAAAGCTATTCTAGACCCCACTCCATTACCCTGAGCCATTTATAGGCTGTTTACAGCTCTGAACGTCATCAGACAATAATACTGCATCTGAGCCAGATTGGACAGTGGCATCAGATCCCAATTGCCCCAGCACATCATCCTAACTAAGCAATGCATACAGAACATGTGGAACACGCACATGCACGCACACAGGCCCACAATGAAGCAGGTTAAAGGCCTTGTCCATCCACCCTCTGACAATCAGTGCATTTTGCTGACAGACTGGGACAGTGCACATGAAGTTTAAACATTCTGACCTGGTTCTTCTGGTCCCATTTCTGTCGTACACCAAACTGCTTCTGAAATTTCTTCTGCAAACGTAAGCGGTCCCTGGAATGGAACCGGGAATCAGAACTTGTTCAAGTCACACGGTTAAAATTTTTTCCGATTGGTGAACATGCTGTCCAGTGGTAGCTTGGTGCCCAGAACATCCACCAATAATGCGACCCATAATTCATAATCAAACACTCAACACCCACAGGTTTCCATCTGAAACCAGCACTGGGTGATGCACTGAAGCCTGGGAAGTCGTGGACCTCGTCCTCCCCCACCCCCTCCCACAGTGAAGACACTTTACGTTAATCAGGCACGGAAACAAGACTGGGATATTCTGGGGAATGCCCTTCCATGGCACTTGCATGGCATTTCCCAACAATCCAATGGAAAAACATTCCCTCCTCGTCAAAGTATGTTAATAACGAGGGTAAGTGGGATTGAGGTTACAGCTTTCCCTATTCTGGCTGGGGCTGGATTCAAAACAAGAATTTGGAAGATGCTGAAGGGGACCACGAGTGGCAAACATCTGAAACTGAGTTGCTGACTCAACCTGGTCAGTGAATTTCAGTGATAGTAAGACCTGCCGATGCTGGAGTCAGAGATAACACAGTGTGGAGCTGGAGGAACACAGCAGGTCAGGCAGCATCAGAGGAGCAGGAAAGCTGACATTTCCGGTCAGGACCCTTTTTCAGAAATGGGAGAGGGGAACGGGACTCTGAAATAAATGGTGGCGGGGAGGTGACAGCAGGTAGATAGTGAAGTGGATAGGGTGGGAGAAAAGTCAGACAGGACAAGGAGGCGGGGATGAAGCTAGTAAAGGTGAAAAGCAGTGGATTTCAGTGTCAGGTGGAGGCAGTGCTGATGGGCTTTACAGATTTTTGCCAACGTTTATTCTTTATTCCTTGATGGGACGTGGAGATTGCTGGCAAGGCTGGCATCTGTTACCTATTTTTCATTGCCCTTGGGCCGAGAGGTTTACTCAAATCATCTCAGGGCAGTTGAGAATCAACCATATTGCTGTGGGTCTGGAGCCACGTCGGCCAAACCATCTTCCCAAGCATCAAACAACGGCCTAATCTATAACAAAATGAGAGCATCCTGAAGGATCCCAGTGAGAGAGCCAGCACCTTCTCGAAGGGAGAGCAGGACAGCAATAGACGGAGTTGGACAGACAATTGCTGTAATGGTTCCCTCACCTCTCCTTCTGCTTGGCACTTTTCGGAAGAGTCTGCATGTTAAACTGCAGCAGCTGGCGCCGATCTTTCTCACGTCGCATGTTTCTCTGCTGCAAAAAGTGAAAGCGATGTTAAACTTCACTGAGTGAACCGCAGGATGTGCGTCCAAAACAAAAAAAGAACCATTTTACTTGCACAGTTTGTAACATTTCTACAAACTGCAGACAGAGGGTCGGATTAATCTGTGAAACTTCCCCGCAGCCCTCATAAAACACGTAGGGCAAGAGTTTAGTAAAGCAATTCTGCTGAATGGGTCTCCCTGCTCAGTGATCCTACACAGAGCACCCAAACTTTGTTATAAACCTGGTTGACACACAGCAATCTGGACAGTCTAACCAAAAGCTATATAAACACTAAGCACAACCAGATGTCAGCAATAACACAAAACATCACTGGCTTGGTACTCTTAAGCCCTGCTCCATCACAAACAGCTCTCGTGAAAGATCATAGTGCGGAAATGTTTCTGTCCACAGTCACTGATAGACTTTCTCAACACTTCCTATTTTTACTTTTGTGTTTGAAGGTTGGACCGGCTCAGGGAGAGGCTGCAGTGTTGCTGGTCTCCACATGACTTCATCCTTATCTGCACATGAAATGTCGAGAAACACAGCCTCGCTCTGCTAACTACACGCAGAGCCCCTGCACATACCTGAGCAAATCGCATACGGTTCCTCTGGTAGGCAGTCTTCTGTGTGCGGGCTGTGTCGACAAGCTGGAAGCTGCTCTCATCTTCCTCGTGGAAGTAGGCGTACTGACTGCCGCCACCAAACTGGGAGGAGTACTTATCTGTGGGAGGGAAACACAGAGACAGCCCGTCACCAGACACAGAGAAGCTGCAAGGCGTCCATAGACATGAGAAAGGGCAAATTCTTACAGCACCTTTCACAACCTCAGAAAGTCTCCAAGCACTTCACGGTCATTGAAATACATTTCAAAGTGTAGTCACTGTCGCAATGCAAGAAACACAGCAGCTAATTTGAGCACAGCAAGCTCCCAAAAACAGCCATCTGTTAATAACTAGACAACTGACTTTAAGTGACACTGATCAAGGGATCAATATTGGTCAGGAGCCACAATGCGTGATGGCTCACGCAGACAACGTCTGGCACAAGAATACAGACATTGCAACACTTTATATCGCTTTCTGGTGCGAAAATACAAGAAAAATGGCCCAGACATGGCTAACAAAGAAATTTTGGACAGAATTCATGTGACACCAGGTTACAGTCCCAACAGGTTTGTTTGAAATCATAAGCTTTTGGGGCACTGCTCCTTCGTCAGGTGAAGCGGTCAAAGCGATTTCAAATAAACCTGTTGGTGTTGACAGACTTCTGACTTTGTCCACCCCAGTCCAACACCTGCACCTCCACAAAGAAATTAAGAACAATATCAAATTAAAAAAGGAGTCATATAAAGTCTAAAAAGTAACAAGCTCGAGGACCAGGAGCAATTTAGAATTCAACAAAGAGGCACAAAAGATTGATCTAAAGGGAAGAAAGAGTGTATGGGGCTAAACTTGCAAGGAACATGGAATGTTAGAGTCTCTATAACAATCTAAAAAGACAAATGGCTACTGAAGACAAATGTAGGCTCGTTACAGTCTGAAACAGGGAAATTAATAATGGAAATCATGGAAGCGGTAGAGCAATTAAACAACAATTGTAGACTTGCATTCACTGAAGGTGACACGGATAACTTCCCAGAAGTACAACATAAGAACTGTGGATGCTGGAAATCTGAAACAAAAAGTGCTAGAGGAACCCAGCAGTTCTGGCAGCATCTGTGGAGACAGAAACAGATAGTAGCAAAGCAAGGGTCTAATCGGAAGAAGGAATTGAAAGAAATTGTTAGTATTATTTTTTAAAAAGGTAATAAGAGTAATTAATGGGACTGAGAGCTGATAAATCCCTGAGGTCTGATAATCTAACAAACTGAGGTTGCCGTGGAGATAGTAGATAGGACGATGGTCATTTCATTAAACAGATTCTGCAACAGTCCAGGCAAGTTAGAGGCTGAAAAGTGTAACCCCACTATTTTAAAAAAAAAAAAAAAAAAAAAAAAAAAGTGGGAAGGAGAAAACAGGGAATTACAGACCATTTAGGCCGACATCAGGAGTAGCGAAATGCTAGAGCTCATTATAAACGATGCAATAACAAGACACTTAGACTAAACAACATTCATTTATGAAAAGGACATAACTAGTAGAATTGATAAAGGAGAACCAACTGGTGTTGTGTACTTGGACATTCAGGAAGCTTTTGATAAATTTTGCATGAGAAGTTAATGTGCAAAATCAAAACATATGGGACTAGTAGTATTTTACTGATATGATTTAAGGATTGGTTGGTAGACAGTAAAGACAGATTAGGAATAAATATTAACTTTTGGAATGGAAAGTCATGACCAGCTGGGTACAAATGGGATCAGCATTCAGATCCCAACTATTCATAACACATTTCAATGTTTTGATTAAGTGAATAAAATGAAGTATTTCAAAGGTTGTTGATGACTCAAAACTAGGAGGACCTACAAGTAGTGAGGAGGACGTAAGGAGGCTTCAGAAAAAGTTAGAAATGTTGAGTGGGTGGGAAAAATTATGGCAGATTCAATATAAGTGGATAAGTGCGAAGTTAGAGTCATAGAGTCAGACAGCATGGAAACAGACCCTTCGGTCCAACCAGTCCATGCCAAACATAATCCCAAAATAAACCAGTCCCACAAGTTATCCCCCTCAATGGGAGAAACAAAACAGAGTATTATTTAAGCAGTGAGACTAAGAAATGTTGATGTACAAAGAGACCCAAGTGATATCACAACAGTCCCAGCAAGACATTAGGATAAATAGTATGTTGGCCTTCATTGCAAAAGGTTTGAGTACAGGAGCATAGATACCTTACTGTAACTGCAGTAGGCCTTTGTGACAGCATTCCTGAAGTATTATGTACAGTTTTGGTCTCCTTACACGAGGAAGGACGTACTTGCCACAGGAAGAATTCAGCAAAGATTCACCAAACTGATTCCTGGGATGGCAGGTTTGTCATACAAGAAGAGATTGGGTTAACTGGACCCAAGTATTCACTTGGGTTTAGCAGAACGAGATAGGATCTCATTGAAATGTATAGCATGTTGACAGAGCTGGACAGACTGAATGCTGTGATGATGCAGCACCTGGCTTTAGATGCAGTGGTCTAGAACAAGTGTTCAGGCTCTCAGGATACAGCGCAGATCATTTAACACAGTGATGAGGACAAAGCTCTTCACTCAGTGATGAACCTGTGGAATTTGATCCTAAAGACAACTGCAGAAACTAAGTCACCAAATAGATAGATTTCTGACATTAAACATGTCAAGGAGTTCAGGGAGAGAGCAAGAGAATGGTTTTGAGATAGGTGATCATGCTTGATGGGCCAAATGGCCTACTGTTGATCCTATTTTCTATGTTTCTCTACAGACAGACACTCCCTGGAGCTCACCAAAACACACAGGCAGTGGACTCTGCCTGACACAAGCGTGCATGCACACCGACCCTCAGAAGGTGACAGAATGAATGCATGCTGAGCAGCTACAATACAATGAGCAGGTCAATCAGGTGTAGGTTGGAGGAGCCAGGATTCCTGCTCCAGAGTGACAAGAACAAACTTCTACACAAAGTCAGTGATGGGCGAAGTCAGGACATTAGTTAGGTTCTGTCGTGATGCTCTCCACAGCCAACTAACATTGTCCATCAAGCACACTGCTACTTACTGGTGTACCGCTTATCCTGATATGTTGCTCCTGTCCAATCAGCAACCTGGAAATATAAATTGTTACATATGCTTAGAGGAAGTAAACGAGAGTATTTTCCAACTGTAAACTACAACCAGCCACACACTCAAATTTTGCACATTCGTGGGGAAGTGAGACTGATTGAGGGGTATTTGAACACCTTGATCAAACACTCCCAAAGTCAACACTCAGCTCATTCAGGGAAACACACAAAGCTCCAGTATTTATCCATGAGTGGGTTGTCCAGTTGCAATACACTCTTCACACAACATGCCCCATCACACTCCACCTCACACTCAGCTCCCGTGTCCACCCCCATGACGATTCTACCGTTCCTTCCATGCCCCAGGCTACCCATAGGCATCGGCACACAGGATTTGCTAGTTGAAGCAGCCTTTGTCAACATTGGGAGCTTTTCTTTGGTTTAGATTGTGAAGCTGAAAGCAGGGCAGGGAATAAGAGCAGATTCATAAAACTAAAAAAATCAGACGCTTATCTTGACCTTCACTCACTATTCACAAGCCACTGGACTCCGGAAGCAGTCTCACCTTTCCCAGCCGGTCCCCCTTACTGAACGGCTGGTATGGCATGTCCTTGAACTGCTCTGGGACTGCGCATGGTCCCCATCCGAACGGATTATCCTGGATCACAGGGGTCAGGAATCGTGCCATCTTCTACAACCAGCTGCAAAGAGACACCCAAACAACATATAAATCGCAGGAGGCTGAGAGCTGAGGGAGCCGCAGCCATTCACAAAAGCAGCTCACTACCACCTGAAAGAGTTACATATAAGGCCTCATCACCTCCACGTTGGTCATCAAACACCAATCTGCTCTCGCCCCATTTTCCAGCACTCAGCCCATGACCTCGTATGCTATGGCATTTCAAGTGCGAAACACTTCTTGAATGTTGTGATGCTTCCTGCCTTTGCCACCTTTTCAGGCAGTGAGGTCCAGATCTCCAGCACCCTCTTGGACAAAACATTTTTTCTTTAATCCCCTCTAAACATCTGGCTCCTTCCTCTAAAACCGTGACGCCGATTACTCACGCTATCAATGCCCTTTATAATTTTGTATATCTGTCAGATTTCACCCCCCCGCCCCAGCCTTCTGCGCTCTAAGGAAAACAGCCCAAACCTATCCAGTCTCTCTGCTTCACTGCATCCCTCCAGCCCAGGCAACATCCTGGTGGATCTCCTCTGCATCCACTCCAGGGCAATCACATCCTTCCAATTGTATGGGGACCAGAATTGCACAGAGTGCTCCAGCTGAGGCCTAACTCATATCCTACACAGCTCCATCATAACCTCCAATGCCTTGACTAACAAAAGCAAATATCCCAATATTTAACCACCTGAACCATGTGTTGCCTTCAAGGATCTGTGGACACATACACCAGGGTACCTCTGATCCTCTGCACCTCCTAGGGTCTCACCATTTTTCGTATACTCCCTTGCCTTGTTAGTCTTCCCAAAAGGTATCACCTCACACTTTTCAGGATTAAATTCCAATCGCCATAATTCAGCCCAGATGACCAACCTGTCAATATAATTATGTACTATAATGCTTACCTCTTTGCTATTTACTATGCCACCAATTTTTGTGTCATCTGCAAACCTACCAATTAAACCTCCTACATTCATGTCTAGATCATTAATACGCTGTACAAACAGTAAAGGACCCAGCACCAAGCCTTGCATTCACCACTGGATATAAGCTTCTAGTCACAAAAATAACTGTCAACTATCACACCCTGCCTCCTGCTGCTAAGTCAATTCTAGATCCAACTTGCCAAACTGTCCTGGATCCCACTTTATTGACCAGTCTCCCATGTGAGACCTTGGCAAAAGCCTTACCAAAGTCCATGTAGACTACATTCACTGCACAACCCTCATACGCACATCTAGTCACCTCCACAAAATACTGAATCAAATCTATAAGGCATGATCTCCCCCGAAACAAAGTCATGCTCACCATCCTTGGTGAATCCTTGCCTCTCCAAGTAGAGTTTAATTCTGTCCCCAAATTATTTTTACAAGAGTTTCCCTACTACTTGTGTTAGACTCAAGGTGGCCTATAGATCTCCGATTTATCTATACCACCTTTCTTAAATAATGGTACCACATTATTCTCTAGTTGTCTGGGACCTCTCCCTTAGCCAGGGGGAAGGATTTGAAAATTAATATCGGAGACCCTGCAATTTCCTCCCACAACAGCCTGGAATACCCTGTTCTCTTCTGGCCCTAAGAATCTACTCAATTTTAAGCCTTTAATACCTCTTTCCTCTCAGTTGTGATTCGCTCAAGGATATCACAGACCTCTACCCAGATTCCTACATCTACATCATCCTTCTCTACAGTGAATACAGACCCAGACTCATTTAAAACTTCTGCTACATCTTCAGTCTCCTTAAACCAATTGCCACTTTCCTCCCTAAAGGGCCCCACGGCTTTTCTGGTTGTCCAAATATTTACAAAATACATTTGTACTGTCTTTTACTGAACCCACCAGTGACTTTTTCCACACTCGCTCTTTGCTTTCCTAATTTCTTTTTAAATAACCCTCTGCACTTTCTATTCTCCTCTAGGGCTTCTGGTGTTTTGAGCCCTTTGCATCTTTCATTAGCTTCCTTTTTTCCTCATCTAATCCCATACCTTCCTCGATATCCAGGATTCTCTGGATTTCACCTTTTCGGGAACATGATGGTCCTGCATACTTTGTCCTTTTTGAAAGGCTTCCACTGCCGTGGTGTAGATTTCCGACAAACTGATGCTCCCACACCACTTTGGCCAGGTCCTGTGTTTTCAGATTAAAATCCGCCTTCCTCCAATTCAATGTTTATTTCTAGTCCGTCTTTATCCTTTTGCATCTACTTTATATTTTACTGAGTTAACTCACTAATCACTGACATGCCTGGTTTCATTCCCTAAGACTAACACCAGCAGCATCCCCTCTATTGTCAGACTTTGCACATGCTGGCTTCAAAGAAAAGCTCGTCTGGATTGATATTAGATATTTCACCCTCTCCAAGACTTTCACACTTCATCTATCCCAGTTAATATTGACAAAGTTGACATTCCCTATTGTAATTACCCCGTTATTTTTACGCTTCTGTGAAATCTGCCCACATATCAGCTTTTCTATCTCTCCCTGACTGTTTGGAGGTCCGAGATCTATTCCCGGGGTAACTGGGAATGGGCAACAATCTCAGGTTCATTCAGTGACACCCACTTCCTGTGAGGATACTCTGTCAGACACACCGCGCCTAGTCTGACCGGTGTCACTTCAATGTCCAACAATGAGTTGGGGCTCATTGGGCAAGACTCACAGCTGAAGACTGGGGGTTCGGGCCCCAATCCAGACCCATTGGCCATCTGGGTGTGTGGTGGGGGGGGGGGGGGCGTACAGTTGGAGATGCTGCCGCCCATTCCCCCGGGTCTCTCAGGTAGAGGGTCAGTGAACCCCACGGCTAACTCTTTGTGAGCAGAGATGGGGAATTCACCCGGGGGTGGCGGAGGTTGGGCCTGTGCCCAAATCAGCAGCCCCCGGGTAAAAAACGGGGAAAACTCTGTTCATTACCTTCTCACTGGACACCAAAGGAGAATCTACCTGCTCCTGTCCCTCTACAAACAGCAACCTGAGCTGTTCCAGCACTGACACCGCTCAGGTGGCTATATAAATGCAATGGCCAGTACGCATCATAACTCAATGCCCGCCTTAGGCGCTAGACAAACGCAGGATGAGGGCCAGGCCCGAGGCTTCGGGCCGAAGCCGGTATTTTCCCGGTTCCGGTCCGTCCCCCGCGGACAATCCCCGGTTTGTCGGAGTCTCGGTTCCCCCCCGGGGCCAGGCCCCCGCCGATTACCCGATTCTCCGGCTCCGCCACCGCCGATGGCACCGGATACGAGAAACTTCACAAACACCGACACCGGCCGCCACACTGTCGTAAACTGGACCGCCACGCTGCCGTAAACCGGTACCCCACACCGTCATAAACTGCCGTAAACCGGACCTCCACACGGCCGTAAACTGCGCCCCAACGCTGTCGTAAAGTGCCGTAAACCGGGCCGCCACCCGGGGCGAAATGCCGTAAAGCGTCCAAACCGTCGCCACACGGCCGCAAACTGCCGTAAAGACCGGGAACAGCAGGTGTCATGAATCAGGAACAAAAACAGAAGTCGCTGGAAAAGCTCAGCAGGTCTGGCAGCATCTGTGAAGAAAAAAAAATTCTGAGGTAACGTTTCGGGTCCGGTGACCCTTCCTCCGTCAAAAACATCTGTTTCTACAAACTGCCGCACTCCGGCACGGGAATGTCGTCGTAAGGTGCCGTAAAACGGAGCTGCCACGTTGCCGCAGACGGGTGCAACAACGCTGCCATAAAGTCAGTCGCAAGACAGTGCCCTGTTATTGTCACGTTTTCCACTCAGACTCAGGAGATAATTCTCCAGCGGCTCCTGGGGGCCCCAATAATTCGTTAAAAGAGGCACATAAATTGGGCAGCGACTTTCTGCCACGCCACCGTGTAGGAGGTTCGGGTCCACACCACGACAATGTCGTGAATATCGCCGTCGGATTAAGTCGCTTTAAATAACAAACCTGTAGACGGGCGCAAGGCCTGAGCTGTGTTTCTCTCCGCGCTTTGGTTTAGATAAATCTAAACGGGTCGCAGGTTTGATGTAAATCGGGAATTGGGCGCCGCGGGTTGAATCCGCTTTACGGCAGTGTTCCGCGGGCCGGTTCCACGGAGACAGTGAGCTGGCGAGCGGCGCCAAGATGGTCCACACCGTGACTGAACGCCTCCCCCTATGGTGCCACCAGGTGGGCGGGAGAGGAATGGCAGCATAGCCATTGCCCCAGAACCAGTGGAGAGAATGTGAGCCACTGCCAGAGAGGACAAGGATAGAAGCAGAGAGACTGGTGAACTCAGAGAGGTTTATCAAAGTGATGAGGGGCTTGGATAAGGTGAATAACAAAGATCTTTTCCCCTGGATGGAGGGGAGTCCAAAACTAGGTGCATAGGTGAGAGGGGAAAGACTTAAAAGGGATTTAAGGGGCAACTTTTTTTACGCAGAGGGTGGTGCGTGTCTGGAATGAGCTGCCAGAGGAAGTGGTGGATGCAGGTACAATTACAACATTTAAAAGGCATTTGAATAAGTCCATAAATAGGAAAGTTTAGAGGGATATGGGCCAAGCACAGGCAGGTGGAACTAGTTTCATTTAGGAACATGGTTAGCATGGACTGGTTAGACCAAAGAGTCATACAGCGGGCAAACAGACCCACGATGGGGAGGGACAGAGCGCGAGAGAAAGATGCAAAGAGTTGCAGTGAAAGAGACTGAGGAAGAGCATGTCATCTCAAAATAGGTTATGCAGTGCAAAAATCCAGTAAGCACAAACAGCACCTTCCAAACCCTTTACCACTTCCATCTAGAAGGACAAGGACAGCAGACACATGGGAACACCACCCCCTGCAAGTTCCCCTCCAATCCACTCACCTTCCTGATTTGGAAATGTATCACCGTTCCTTCACTGCTGGGTCACAATCTTGAAATTCTCTCCCTAAGGGCTTTGTGGGTCAACCTACAACACATGGACTGCAGCGGTTCAAGAAGACAGCTCACCCCCACCTTCTCAAGGGGCAACTAGGGACGGGCAACAAATGCTGGGCCTAGCCAGCGACATCCCAGCAGTGAATATAACAAGGAAACAAGAAAATTGTAAACAGTAAATTCCCACGAGCAGCAATGTGATAATAACAACAGAAAATACTGGGAATACTGAGCAAGTCAGGTAACCAGTTCTAATGAAAAGTCAACACTTTCCCTCTCTATTGCTGCTGCCTAATCTTCTGAATATGGTCTATTGCATCTGCTGCTCCCAATGTAGCTACCTCTACATCGGTGAGACCAAGCAGAGGCTCGGAGACTGTTTTGTAGAGCATCTGCGCTCTATTTGCAAAAAACGACAACACCTTCCAGCTGCAAACCATTCTAATTCCCCCTCCCACTCCCTGGACGACATGTCCATCCTGGGCCTCCTCCAACGTCACAATGACACCACCCGGAAACTGGAGGAGAAGCACCTCATATTCTGCCTTGGGAGCCTACATACCAATGGTCTCAATGTGGACTTTACCAGTTTCAAAATCTCCCCACCCCCGGCCTCATCCCATGTCCAACTCTCCCTCTCATCCTCCCCCTCCTTGACCTGACACAACCTGTCCATCTTCTCTCCCACCACTCCCAACCTGCACTCACCTATCACCATCCCACCTACCTTCCCCATCCCCACCCCTCCTCTCTCTATTTATCTCCCAGCTCCCTTCCCACCACCACCACCCACCCCCCGCCTTCCCCATCTTTTCTGAAGAAGAGTCCCGACTGGAAACGTCAGCTTTCCTGCTCCTCTGATGCTGCCTGGCCTGCTGTGTTCTTCCAGCTCCACACTGTGTTATCTCAATCAGGTCACTCCATGTCATTTTCTAGTGAAAGGGCCAAGCATTTTTCTTCAGTTTCCTGCAGCCCTCAAAAAGCTGTCAGCTCCACTACATCATTCTGAACCTTTCTCTTTTTCTCCTCTCGAGGTCAAAATTTGAAGCTTAGAAATTGCTGTCACTATTTCTGATTCCCAGATTAATTCCTTCACTGGTTTTAATTGGTGTCACAGATAACAGGGACAAAGTTTGAGTGAAATCTTTCTAAAGAGTGATGTTATAAAATAGAGATCTGAAAATGTACAAAATATTTTTATTTAATACTTTCTCTTTCAAAACATCATCTTTGTGCAATATGTAGAAGCATAATCTTCATATTTTATTGTAGAATATAATAAAATGGAATCTAAAATAGTACAGACACAGTTCACCACATTTTGTAAACACTCCTTTATCTTTCTCAGTGGTCGGTAAGTTTATTTGAGTTACTTTTTTTTGTGACTGGCTGTAAGTGCTGAAGATAACCTCGAATTCGATCGAAATGTAGGAAAGATTCCGCTTTATTAAACAATGATTCCCCAAAGTGGGAGAATTTATGATCTTAAAACCCTGAAATCAGTTCCGTTTTAAAATACTTGCAGTGACATTTCTCACAAATACCAGTGCACTCTGACTGGGAGCCAGTTCAATGGGTGCTCGCACTATCTGGCAGTGGGGTCCTGTGGGTGCTCGCACTGTCTGGGAGTGGGGTCCTGTG